GCGCGGCGCGCGGGCGCGGGGCGGGCAGCGCGGGGAACTCACTTGGCGGCCGCGGTGGACTGCACGCCCGCGGTGGCCGTCAGCGTCCAGTACTTGCCCGTGTGGGTGCGGAAGGCGCACTTGCCCGTGTCCCGGTCAATCTCGAGCTGGAAGGTCTCCTGGTCGCTCTCCTCGTCCTGATTGGCCGACAGGTCCATGCCTGTGGAGAGGCCCCGGCTTGGTCAGGCCCCCGAATGTCCCCTGTCGCCTGATTTCAGATGACTCAGAACACCAACCCCCGCCACAGGAGGAGGGCTGCTGAGGCCCGTGTCTGGCCCAAACCCCTCAGCCAGTACGTCCATGGCGGCTGGCCAGGCCATTTCCCTAACTACAGGCGTCCGCAGTGCATCCCTGGAGCCCCAGCGCCTGAGAGGCGGAGGCGGGAAGAACGGGACCCTGGGTTTGAGACCAGCCTGGGCGACGTCGCAAGTTCAGGCCAGTTTAAGCTACATAGTGAGACCCTGTCTCAGAAAAACAAAACGGGCTGGCAGAGAAACTCAGGCAGAAAAAGCACCTGCCTAGCAAGTGGGAGGCCCTGAGTTCAAACCCCAGTGCTACCAAAACAAAGACAAAAATAGAACAGCGTCAAAGGAGCCACCCCCACAGGGACCCTCTGGAACCTACCCCAAAATGGCCTGGCCTTCAGTTTACTGAGGGTAGTTACTGTTAAGTTCTGCTATAGTTATGTAAGAAAATGGCCTCTTTTTTTTTTTTTTTTTTAAGGTACAGATGGAACTATTTCAGGATAAAACGCCCTGGTGTCAGGGATTTGCTTTAAATACAACCAAACCTATAGAAAAAAGGCACAGATGGAGCCAGTTCCGCAGATCACATGGGGGGCGGTCTCAGTAAAGCCGTTCACCATATTCTTCCTGCTTCCATGTACGTGTGAAAGTTAAAATGGTCAAAGAAGAGACAGGCGTGGTAGTGCACGCCTGTAATCCCAGCACCTGGAATGCTAGCAAAAGCAGGAGGATCGAGTTCAAGGCCCGCCTGGGCTACCTAGTGAGACCCTATCTCCAAAAAGAAAAAAAATAAGTAACACATAAAAACACATATTCTCTTTAGAAAACATAAAATGAACTCACACTTACCCCAGCCCCCCGCTACGGGTCTCTGAGCGTATGCGCCCAATCTTTCTCTTTACACATGGCGTCCCCAACCACACGTGCACTCGTGCTGTGCTCTGAGCCAACTTTTCTGCCTGACATAATCCTATGTGACCCACTGAGCCCTGGTCAGATTCCGTCCCCACTGGCTGATGCTGCTTGTAGCTCTCCTCTGCTGGCCACACGGTCCTTTGCCATGTCCCTGCACTGGCCACTCCAGCTGAAACCCGGTCCCCCCCACGTGCCCTGGATTCTAGAGCAGCGGACACCGCACTGCACTGGCTTCACGTGTGACTTTGAGCACATTTGTGCCTCAGGGACCCGGGGTCTGAATCATACCAACTTCATTCCAACCCAGTCCAGTGGCGAATCCTGCTTCACAAGGGGGAGGTGAGGCTGGGAGGTGGCATGTCCTTGGCTCAGGGTTACACAGCAAAAATGGAAAAGGAAAAAAAGCGACTTTTTTTTTCCTTTTCTTTCTTGGTGCTGGGATCGAACCCACGACTTGCACATGCTAGGCAAGCGCTCTACCACCAAGCTACATCCCAGCCTAAAAAAAGTGATTATTAAAATTAGAGAAATAAAACTTTTTGATGAGACCAAGGTCTCACACACCAAGAAAGGAAAAGCTCTTAGTTGGGCTTGGTGGTGCAGAGCTGTAATCCCAGATACTCAGGAGGCAGATAGGAAGGATGGAGGTTCAATGCCTGCCAGGGCAAAAAGCTATGGAGACCCCATCTCAACAAATATGCCAGACGAGGTGGCTTGTGCCTTTCATCCCAGCTACGTGAGACATAGGTAGGAGGTCTTGATGGCTCTCCTTCCTCCCATGCAGCCTCCTGTTCATGGACCCCTTGGATGTCGCCCCTAGGCACCTCTGGGTCCCTCAGCCTGTCTTTACAGGGCCCTTCACCTGGGGCCGTGTTGGGGACCACCCCGCCATCAGACCCAGGGATATTTTGGAAGAAGAGTGGGGTAGGGAGGGAGGAGCCCTGCGCCCAGAGGGGAGGGGCTGTGGAAGATGGATGTGACACACCCACACGGTTGGCAGCCACCGTCCCCCCGCCCGCCCACCCCTGCCCACAAGGAGGGCGGCAAACCTGAGTCAGGGCCAGCGCTGAGTCAGCCACGCAGCGCAGCACACCCTGCTTCACAGAGCCTCAGGGAGGTCCCGGCCACATGGCCACACCCAGCCAATGGGTGCCCAGCAGAGGGAACGAGGGGGACAGATAGGAAGAAATGGCCCTTCAGGCCACCCCAACAGCAGAATGGACACAGGGGACCCCAGGCTCCCTGGGGAGAAAGCAAGAGGGTCCTGCCCGGGTCCTAATATGTCATCCAAACAGCCCCTGTGTCACCACCAGCCTTTGGGTCAGTACAACGAACTCCAGCACCATTCTAGACAGAGGAGACCCAGGCCGGAACTGTCCAGAGCCACGACAACGGCCATCCGCTCAGCTAGCTCCCACTGTCATCTTTGATGACAGGCCCACACCACCGGACATGAGGCCCCCAAGACCCTCGGGCGAGTGTCTTCACGGCACCCTGCCTCAGTTTCCCCGTCTGCCAAAAGGATCTAGTCTCTCCACTCTACTGGGATAGTGGGGTGGGGGCGGCTGGCGCCAAGGAGATATACCAGGTCCCCCCAGTCCAACAGGAAAGGTGGGGAATGGGGAGCTGACCCCCACTCCCCACCCCAGGCAGGAAAGACCTCAGCCTCGGAGCCTCTAATCGGAGCTGCGTTGCTATGGGAACGGGTGTTCTGCAGAATTTGGTCTTTTCATCAACAGTGCACAGAAAACCTGAGTCACAGACTCCCAGGAACCCGGGGGCCGGGAGATGGGGGTGGGGGCTCCTGACTAAGCCTTGGGAGGGTGCGTCTCCTGCCTCCACCTCCCTCCAGAGGGCTCCTGCCTGTCCCCTGACATCAGGGACTTCCTGCTCCCCGCCTCTCAGCCATTCTCTGCCCTGGCTCACCCGGGATGCCCCTCTCTGCCTCATCCATCCTCCATCCCATCCCATTTAGGGGAGGGGGCTTACAATCATTCAGAGCCTCACCTCATCTCCCTCCTTCTAGTCAGTTCTAACCCCTTCAAATCCCACCATCCTTGTACAAGCCATTCCCCATCTGTCTCTCTCTTTTTTCTATAGTGCTGACCTTTGAACTCAGGGCTTATACCTTGAGCTACTCCACCAGCCCTTTTTTGTGATGGACTTTTCTCAAGATAGGGTCTTTTGAACTATTTGCCCTGGCTGGCTTCAAACTGGGATCCTCTTATCTCTGCCTCCTGAGTAGCTGGGATTACAGGAGTGAGCCACTGGTGCCCAGTTCCTATCTCTCTTATCTCTTATTCATCCAGAAAAACCTATCTTAAGGCCAGGGCCAGCAGCTCCCACTTGTAATCCCAGCTACTCTGGAGGCAGAGATCAGGAGGATGAAGGTTCAACACTACTCTGGACAAAAAGTTAATGAGATTCTATCTCAAAGAACAAGTGGCTTGCCCAGCCACCAAGGAAGTGGAGGTAGGAGGACTGAGATCCCAGGTTGGCCAGGCAAAAAGTGAGAGACCCTATCTAAAAAATAACTAAAAGCAAGAAGCGCTAGGGGGGGTGGCTCAAGTGGTAGAGCACCTGCCTAGCAAGTGTGAAGCTGGGTTCAAACCCCAGGACTGCCAAAAAAAAAAAAAAAAAACAGCCTGATCAGCCCCTCCTCAGCCAGTCACCCTCAGAGTGACTGAGACGGGACTCTGAGTGGA